GGGGAGGGCAGCCAGTGTTCCCCCTCCGACCCGCAACCTGCTTTCACCTGCCGCTAATACCCAGGGACCCCCTCCAGGCGTGGGCGCGGGCCATCCTGAAATCCCCCGGATCCTGACGTGACCCTGTGAGTTTGGTCTCTGTTGCCTTTTCTGGCCAGCAAGGTTCCCGACAGCCCAGCTTTGCAGACTGAGTCTGGGTCTGTTCCAGCCCTAAATCCACACCTCTTTGTCTCAGACTTTCACAAGACTCTGTTTTCTTCTTCTCTTAACCGCTTTTCTGACCGACCCGCCTGGGTTCCCAGCGTCGTTCAGTACTCACAGACGGTGGGAGGCTTGGGGTTTGGGTCGCACTCTGGAGACCCCTCAGCCCCTCCTGCCTCTCTCTCCCGGGCTCTCCCACACTCCCTCTCTCAGCCCCTCCTCTGTTGTCCTCCGACCCTTCCACATTTCCCCACAGCGCATTCTGGCCAGTGGACCCCTGGCCCCAACTCTGGCTCTTGGCTCTTAGCTCCGCCAGGACGAAGACGTGGACAAACAGAAGGACAGAGGATGACCCGGAAGAGAGGCTGCAAGAGGCCAGATGTTGAGCAGTCGTCTGATGCGAGCTGGAAGTAGTGGAGAGGACAATGGTAGGTAAGCAGAAGACTTGGGGTGGAGGGAACAGGAATCAGGCGAGTCAGAGAATGATGGGGAGATGGCATAAGGATGGGAAAAAAGGTGACTTTTTGAGGGCCTTGGCGATATCGAGTAGGACAGTATCATTGCATCGTTGCTGAGTGGTCAGAATCGAGGGCCGAAGACGGAGGTACCTAAGTGATCCCAGCAGTGGGCACGCAGGCATCCAGAAGCTTCTCTTTCGGTCTTTGAATTTGTTTCAGAGTCTGTCTCGGCTTCTGTGTCTCTGAATTACCCTCGTCGGTAACCCTGTATGTGTGTCTCTCTCTGTGTCTTTCTGTCTCTAGGTCCCAGCTGCCTCGCTGTGCCTTGAGATCTGTCTCCGTATTTCTGCTTGTGTGCTTCTCTCTCTGGGTCTGCGCTGTCTCTCTCTCAGCCTCTCTGTAATGCTGACCAGAGCCAACCCTCTGATTTCCTGGAAGGAGCTTTGGAATGTCCCAAGAGTAGCCAGGCTCCTCCCCTTTTGTTGCATTCTAGAACCGTAGGGCCAGGTGGGGGTCCCTGGGCACAGGCAGAGGGGACTGATCACTGCTGGAGACCTGAGTGAGCTTCAGCGTGTGGGGCCTTTTCCGGGAGCAGGATCTCCCCACGGAAGACCTTGGGCATGGAGGCCCAGGGAGGGAAGCAGGCTGGTGTGGGTGGTAAGGCTCTAGCCTTTGTCCCTCTGCCTTTCCTTGTGGCTCCTGGGCCAGTGCTTCCCGACCCTGCCAGTTACCGCATTGAGGGATCTTGCTGTTTCTGATCTTTTACACCACTTCTAGAACCGAAGGGGAAACTGAGGCTTGCAATGAGGCTGTAGGGAGGTTCCTAGGGTCCCTGCGAGGAGGCATGAAGGGTATCGTTGGGGGAGACACGGGAGGGGTTAGGGGCTCTGTGGGCTTCCGCCTTGCTTCCCCCACAGGCAGGGTGCTCCATCCTCAGAGGCTCCAGCCTCCCAGTTTCTGGGACTGAAAACACACAGGACAGGGTCCAAGTCTCCAAGTGCAGTGGCAGCGAGTCTGAGAGCTGGTCCTGCTGCGGCGGCATCTGGGGGGTGTCTTGGAACTGGAAGGCCCGGCCCCTGCTTTCCCAGCAGAGGGTGAGCCTGGGCCCTGGGACGAGGGCCCCTACAGCCGCACCACAGCCTGGCCTCTGACGGGGCAGCTGCACCCTGCCTGCTGAGCACAGCCGCAGCCAGAGCAGCTGCAGGTCTGAGGTGACCGGTCCTGGCGGGGAGAGAAAGGAGGGGTCAGAGGTCACGAGACAGAAAAGAGGGTTATACTAATGCACTTAAGAAAGTCTGCCCTGCAGCGTGAGAACCCGCAGTTCCTGTCAGTATCCCCAGATGCCGCCGCCCCCTATGTCCCCTCAGCTCCTGCCCCTCTCCCCACACTGTTCCCTAAGCTCCCACCCCTTCCAGCTTCTCACAGCCCCTGGGTCTCCTGGTCTGTCTGGATTTGAGCCTGTTTTCTGCTCTGCAGCCATCCTGCCACCCCTGTGCTTGGTGAAGGGCGAGGCTCAACTGCAGCCCTCCAGAGGCTTTCCCATGGGGAAGCTGAGTTGGGTGGTGGCAGGAGCTCAGGCTGATGGCCATGAAGTGGCCGTCTAGTTGGGGGAGGAACCACACCCTCAGCATCCAAGCTGAGAGGCCACAGAGGCCTGGCGTTACCTGGAGATGCCCCTGGTGCTGCAGGCTCTGCAGGCTGGCCCAGCCCCAGGGGCTGCCTCTGAGTCCCCGGCAGGTGGGCTCCCGGGGGGGCCCTGGCCATCTGTGGTCGGGATGGGGGCAGGGGAACGCAGGGGAGCACAGCTGGAGTCCCCAGGGGGCCCTGCCTAGGGTCCCGTCTCTCAGCAGCCGTCAGCGGCCCACGTGGCCGTGGCTCTTCCACATCTTGCTGCTGTCGTCGCCCCTGGGAAGACTGACTCCCACGAGGGCACCTACTCTCGTCCTGGACCCCCGCCCCGGTCCCTGTGTTTACAGAAGCCGGAGGGCTCTGCACAGAACAGACTGCTGAGGCGCAGGGCCACGTGCACCTGACGTTTGGCTCCCCACCCCTGGCTGACTCTCCAGCTTTAGGAAAAGCCAGCCCAGCCCGAGCTCTGAGGGGTGTTAGGCGGCCAGGAAGAGGGGTTGTCGGGTACTGGGGGTCTGTGGGCCTGCAGGGTGGGCAGACGGGAACAGCACGGCACACGGCAGCATGTGGGTGGCATCTCTTGGAAGGACGCCGCCACCCCAATACTGAGCACGCGAAGCGCTAGCTGGAGGGGAGCGAAGGCGTTTTCCAGCAGAGAAGCTGCGGGAGCTCCTGCTCTCTGGGCCGAGGTCCCTCCCCACCCTCTGCGGGTGGAGACGCATCCCGGGGAGGAACAGGAGGAGTGACCTGGAAGCCTTGCCCGAAATAGCCTTTGTCCTGGGGGCTGGACCCACGTCCGGTACCAGTCATCTGCACCACAATGCCGGTCAGCAGGCAGCGCCTCCCTGTGCAGACACCAGGGCGACAGCAGACGGGGCAAAAGAGATGTCCCACAGAGGAGCAGAGCGGGGAGGAACGGGTCGCAGACATTCGTCCGCACCCGTGCCTCCCACCAGTCCACTCCGAGTGATTACCTACTCTTGTCCCTCCCAAAGCCGGGGTCCCCCAGCCTCTGACTCTTCTCTGACCTGGGCTCCCTGCACAGACAAACAGGATGTTACTCGCGAGGAGGCGCGAGGAGGCGCGCTCCGTCTCTGCTACTGGCCCGGCCCCTCTGGCCCCGGCCCGGCCCCTCCGGCCCGGCCCACTCCCTCTGACCCTCCCTCTTACTCTTCGCCCCCACCCCACCCACCCGTCCTTGTCCCGCCCTGACTCACCTCCAGGTCCCATGGACACAAACAAAAATTTCAGCACAAGCCACTCCAACCGGTTTGGCTCAGGTGTCAGCTGGCCACGGTGCCGGTGCCGGCGCCAGCGCGCACGCGGCCCGAGGGCGCACGCGCACAGACGCGCAGGCGGCTGGACCGCGGGCTGGACCGCGGTCGATGGTGTTTCCGTCTCTCTTGGCTGAGGGCTCACTGAGGGCAGCAACCACGTGTAAGCGTGTCTGTCCCCTCCCTGGTGGTGCTCACCACATGTCTGTCAATGAACTCAGGCACGTAGGCCGGCCCACGGGGATGTGCTGAAGATGCCCCTTGGCCTGGATGGTTCCCATGCTCCCGAGCCCAGAGCACAGGCGGGAGGAGGGGAAGGAGTGAGGCCTGAGAGGGAATGGGGTTCGAGAGGAAGAAAGAACAGAACCCCGGAGACCAGGCACTGGTCCGGAAAACCTTCCCCAGCCAGTATTTCGTTCCAGCCCCAGCCCCAGGTTCATCCCGGAAGACGGAGGGAAGGCCGGGTGTGAGGGCTGCTCCCCAGGAGCGAGGCCCAGGGTCACCGGTGGGACTGCAGCGTGAGCTCAGGGGACTTGAGGGAGGCACTTGGGTGACAGAGAGAAATACTCCTTCCTCAGGCGAGGCCTGGAGTGGCTGCCTGGCTCAGCGGTGCCCTCAGCCCTCATCTCAAGGCCGCCCCTGCTGTTCACCAGGACCTGAGCAGACCGTGAACATACTGGTCCATCGTGGCCTTCACAGCACCTGGGGAGTTCTGCCTCCTTTCGGTGTCCCGTGTGGCTGGAGTAGGGGGTGAGTGACAAAGGACCCCCACCAGGGGTCACAGAGTTTATGACGGGCTGCGCCGCGTGGGGGGGAGTATCCTGGGTGCCCACCTTGCGATCTGTCTGCTCTCCCACTCCGTGCCTCAGTTTCTCCTGCAGTTTCCTGGACCAGGGGGGTAAGTCGTGGGAAGGAAAAGGCTCCTCTGAAACCGAGCGGTGGGACCCGAGGTGCGATAAGGATAATTATAACACGGGGTGCTCCCTGCCTGGCCCCCTGGCCCCACCCCATCTCCACACGGTGGATCGCAAAGCAGCAGCATCGGGGTGGGGCTGCTCCCCCGGCACAGACTGGGCCCGGAGTCCCAAAGAGGGGAAGGGGTCACCCAGGCAGAGGCGGAGAGAAGCTGGCCCCCAGGGCTCCCCCTGACCTGTGGGGAAAAGGTCACTACCGTGGTCACTGCTGAGACTGGAGTCTGGACCCAGAGAGGGGTCACGGCTGGGTTCAGGAGCCCGTCTCGCCTCCCCAAGCCTGCCTGGCCCTGTGCCCCGCACGGACACCCCTCGTAAGTTCATGCTGTCAGCAAAAGTGGACCCAGTTCCAAGTGCTGAGGACTGTCCCAGCCAGGTGACAGGTACGGTTGTAAAACAAGCCTGCTGTCTACAGGGTTCGCAGAGCACAGCCTCATCCTGTCCCTCAGTTTGCACAGGTGTTGGCTCCCTGGCCCGCAGCAGGCTCCCATCAGCGTGTCTTGAATGGAAGCTCACAATTCATTTAGGGAGAACAGATGCACACAAGCGATGAGTGCACGGCTGTCACAAAGGGACTAGCAGAGGCCAAGGGAACATGGAGGAAACAGAGTCTTTGAAATGAAGGGTGTCCTGCAAAGTCCAGACATGCGGTCTTGTCCAGTGTCTGAGACGTGCGGGCCAGATGGCCATGCAGGTGGCGGAGGGCCCCGTGCCCTGGGGCTGTACATGGCCGCACAGGGCTCTGGGCCAGGTGGCAGTTCTGGCAGCTGCTGAGCGGGCCCATCCAGAGGGACGCCCGGGTCTGCGGGTCGGTCCTCGCTCAGTCCCTTGGCTTCTCCGACACGGCGGGAGTGGGGCTCACTTTGGCCCTTTCCCAGGGGTCTCTGGACTGCTCGCCTCAGGGACACAGTAGTCTGAGCCAGCCGTCCGTCTGGCTGTGTGAGCTCTGGGCACCAGTTCATCCCTCAGGAGGAGCCGCTGTTGGGGACCTTGGCCAGGCGGTGGCTGGCGGGCACGGGATGCTCAGGCCCCTTCCCACTCTCAGGGCCATACCCCATTGCTCCCAGCCTGCTGCCCCGCTGTGAGCCACCCGGCCTCCTGCCCACCCCCACCAGCCCCACGGCTCCTCCTCCCTCCACAGCCCCTTCCACTGGCTGCCAGGTAAAGCCCAGAGCAGAGGGTGGGAACCCCCACAGGCCCCTCCTCACCCCAGGCCCCTCCTCACCCCAGGCCTCTCCTCCCTCCCTCCCGGGCGCCCATTAGCTGGCCCAGGCCGTGGGGGTGGTGGCTGCTGCCGAGTCTGTGCCAGGCCCAGCCCCCTGGGACGCACCTGTTCTGACCTGCTAAGCAGGTTCCCAGGTTTCTGCCGTCGCTGTTGGCCACAGCGTGGGAAGCAGCTCTGGGGGCACTCGGAGCTCCCATCACGGCCCCTTGAGAGGGTAGCTGCAGCTGGTGGGTGGCACGCCTGGGTCCCTTAGCAGAAACCGTGGGGGACAGGCAGGCGTGTTGGGGCCCGCGGACTCCGTGACGCTCTGCCTTCCTGGCCGGCTCCAGATCCAGCCCTAGAGCGGCTCCCAGGGGGAAGTCGGCGGGACCTCGGACGGGCTGGGCAGCTCTGCCTTCGGACCAATGCCCCTGTCCCTGGGAGCCGACAGGTGGAGGCCTGCGGCCCGGCTGCTGCTGTTGCTGCTGGCGTCCCTTGCAGGTAGGCCTGGCCCGGACCACCGGGCCCCTCGCTTCCGAGCCCGCGCGGGCACGCACTCGCCCTCTTCCTCCTGTCGCCACCCCAGCTGCCAGCAGTGCTCCCCGCCCCTCCTCCCCTCTGCCCCCTTCCGTCCCCTTCCAGCCCTGGACAGGTCACTCCGGGGCTCCCGATGGCCTCGCCCAGGCCGGAGCTGCCTCTGAATGCAGATAGGTGGCCGAGCTCCGTCGGGCAGGGCGGAGGAGGCGCAGGCCCTGCTTGCCCGGTCCCCAGGGGGCGTCCACCCTGGGGGCATCCACCCTGGGCTGGGAACTGCTGACTGGAGCGGGGCTGACTCAGGGCTGAGCTGGTGTCGGGCTGAGCTGGTGTCGGCCTGACGGGAACGGCTCGTTTCATCCCTCTCTGCGACGCCCCGGAGGACCTGGAGGCCTGTGGCCCCTCTCTCTCCCCGGAGCCAGTCTTACATGCCAGGGTGGTGGCAGGGTGATTGCTCCGGTGAGTCGGGGTCTAGGGCAGGGTACTTTCTAGGTCGAGTGTGGTCCCCTAGTTCATCCCATCCCCCCACTTTCTCAATTATGAAGCAGGTAGAACGGCAGGAGTTTGTGACCCGCAGCTGGGGCAGGGCGTGTGCTCGCGTGCACGACCAGGCAGACTCCCCGGCGGTGGCAGGGCAGTGAGTGACTGAGACAGCTGCCCCCTCGGGACCACGGGGGCCTGTCTGGGTAGGACAGTTGGAGTCCCAGTCCCAGGAGCAGCGAAGCGAGCTGGTTGACCAGCAGGCCCAGCAGTGACGTCACTCACCGCACCCCCCAGCTGATGCTGGGGCTGCCACCCTCCGACCGTGCAGTGGAAGGGGCAATGGCTGGCCTCCCATCACAGGGGGGCGGCTGAGCTCCCCCTGCCGGCCCCCTGCCCTCACATCTTAATCCTCATCTTTCAGACAACTTTGTCCCTTGCTTAGTCCAAGAGGGTGGGGCCTGGCTGCTGAGGCTGGGGACCTGGCAGCCACTTCTCACCAGGGTCTCCCTCTCTTAAACGGTGGAGTCATGACATTTGGGACTTGGACAAGACTGGAGAGGTCGTGTCTCCTACAGGGCCGGAGGAGACAGGCCAGCAGACCAGGGTCGGGAACACAAGCGGGGTCGGTGTGTGCTCTCCTGCCTCCCGCCTGCCCGCCTGGTGTGTTCGGGGGCACAGCAGGGCGTTAGACGCCGCAGACGCAGGTGTGAACAAGACGAGGCTCTGCCACCGTCCTCCAGACACAGAGCCATGTTTGTAAGGGGACAGGAGACCCCCTCCTAGTTAGGGCGCCACCCCCCACCACCTTGCCCAGGGCCTGCCGGACGGGGGCTATTGGTAGGGAGGCAGCCTGGCCCCAGGGTCGTCCCAGGAGGCTGGTGTCCAACGAGCCCCCACTTTACTGCTGCGTCACCCACACAGAGCTGGAGCGGGGCTGAGGGCTGGGTCCACCCGCTTCCGGCTACTCTGTGTTTAGGATTCTCAGTGGCTTCCAGGAAGCGCGAGTGTTTCTCATCTCTGAAAAAACCTTGGACTGAGAAGCCAGAGCCTTGGGTTCTGGCCCCATTTCTGCTATTAATCTGTTGGGCGACCTTGGGTGCCTCAGAAACTGAGCTTCAGGAGACCAAGAGGCAGGACTGGATGGCCCCTCGGGCCCGCCAGCTTGGGGTTCTATGCATGACTGTCCAGCTCTGACTGAGGTGCGCTCAGTGCTGGCCAGTCTGGCCGTGGTGATGACGGGGAAAGGTCCTGGCCAGTTCACTGAGTGGGGACTAGGGTGCTGCCTTCTGCCCTTCACTGCTACACCTTGTACCCCCCACCCCGACCCCAGGCCTTTGGTGCCCTGAGCCCCAGGGTTCTGCCCCACCCCAGAGGCGCTGGCTCTTGAGAGGCGCCTGGCGAGGGAGGTGCCTGGCACCACAGCTCTTTGTTTCTCCTTAATGGGATGAGTTCCCGGGTGGGGTCCGCTCCCTGCCTCCTCCCCCACCTCCTGGCCTGGGGCTGAGGGCCCCAAATCTACAGGCACCCCTCAGCGAGACCCTCCTCCTAGATCTTTCCTGGGCCCAACTGGGCCCCAGATCAGAGGCTGAGGGCTTCTCTGTCCTCTGAGGTGGATCTGCTTTGTGTCTGAGATTGGCTTTCCTGGACAGGGAGGTCCCCTCCCTGGTCCTACTCCGTTCACTGAGGGGGCGCCCTGTGGGACCCACCCACGGCCTGGGGGGTGCCCGGAAAGGAGGCCGGGGCTAGCGCAGTGACCTCGGCCCCGCCCTGCTGTTCTAGGGGCTGTGCTAAGGGGTCCCAGCCGCAGAGATGGCAGTGAGGACTCAGCAGAGTCCCTGGTCACAGCCTCTAGACCACCACCTTGGGACCCTGGGGTCCCCCAGGCAAAGGGGGTGTGGGGTGCGCCCTGTGAGGAGAAGGTGCTGAGCACCCTTTCTAACCCCGTCTGGCCCAGAGAAGGACGGGTGTGAGATGAGTGGGGCCAGGGGCCGGGAGCCTGGGGGGCTGCATCTGGGACAGAAGGTGAAGCTCAAGACTGGGGCCCCCAAGGCCCTGAGGGCTGTGAAGATCGGGGGCGCTGTAACTGGGACGGGCCTCTGGTCTCTGCCTAGTTCCCTGCCCACCTGCCCGTTTCAAGCCGGTGTGTCCCGAGGCCGCGTCGGCCGCACTGGGTGGGTGGAGGGGACCGGACTGAGACTGAGGTGGTGGTGGGGGGAGGATCCCGGGAGTTTGGGAGAAGCTGAATCCTCCATCTCCCACCCACAGTGTGGCTGTTGTGGTGACTCAGCCGGGCTCAGACTGGCTCCGGGGGTTTAGGGGACTTATCTGTGCTGGGCGCTGTGTCTGGGCCAGGGCCGGGGCTGCCTCAAGGCCTGCCCTTCCCTATTGTTCTCCTCTCCCTTTGCGTTGGGGTGGCCCCCCTCCCCACACTAATTGGTGGGTGGGCGCTTTGCCCAGGCTGGGAAACTCTCACTAAGCTGGGGGGGCTTAGGGCGATGCGGGTAGGTGTGGGAGAGGGATGAAGGCAGAGAGGGACTCTCCTGGTTTTCAAAGTTCCTTCGCGCTCCAAGGCCAAGCTCGCCGGGCGGTTTATGTCACCTGTCCTGGACGGCGGGGCTTTCTCACCCCAGCGTCGCCCACATCTTTCAGCTCTCGGGTGGAAGCGAGGGAGGACCACAGTTAACAAAGGAGCGTGAGCCCCTGACTCGCTTGGATCCCTCTTCCACCCCAGGCTGGAGCCCCCTTCCCGCAAAGCCACAGCAGCCAACCCTTCCCCTAGGCCTGGAGCTGGAGCTGCTTCTGGTGGTGGTGGCAGCACAGGCCCGACAGACGTTCCCAAGGAGAGGCCTGCTGGGGGCCAGAGGTGCTGGGCCTGCGAACGGCTGGGGGTCCCGGTGGGAACCCGAGGGGCAAGGGTTTGTTCTGTTCCCTGGGGAGCCGTGGATGGCAACTTTCTATCCCCTAGAGGGACAATGACCTCATCTCCTGGTCCCTCCACCTGAGATGACTCTGCCCATCAGTCTGGGGTGAGTTGTGAGGACAGCCTGGGTGACACTCCAGACACAGAGCCTCACACCACTGACCACCGGCAGCTGAGACAGGGAGACGCGCGAGAGCCAAGGGAGACCCACGTCGAAATATTTGCTCTGCGTGCAGAGCTCGTGGCCAGGGTCGCGGGTGGAGCGTGGCTGGGCTCCCACACGCCTTCCCCGCTCCTGAGGATGGGGCTCGCATGGTTCATGTGGGGAGACGGCCTCGCCTGTGTGCGGACCAGCCAGGGGCCCTCGCCCAGCACTGTGCATTCAGACACGATGGATTCACGCGCCTTCTGCCTCACACACCTGCCTCTGGGGCCCTATGCGTACTGGCCGGGGTGCTGGTAGAGGGAGGCCCTCATAAGGAGCAGCCTCCTTCCCCAGAGACACTGCAACTGTTGGCCTCAGTTTCCCCTCCTGAGATCAGAGGCCAGGCCCCCACACAGATGGGAGCGTCGGGACCTGAGCACAGGGTGGGGAGCAGCCAGGCAGCCCGAGCCGGGATGGAGGGCCTGTCTGGGATCGGCGGGCGGGTACGCAGGGCAGGGCCCCAAGGAGGCCATGGGGGCCTGGCCAGGGTGGGGAGGCTGAGGGCAGGGATCCCGTCTGGCCAGTTGGGCCTGTTCTCTCCCTTGCGCAAGGTGGTGGCTGTGGCTGGGTCTGAATCACCAGGGCTCCTGGCCGGCTTGGTGCTCCGGGAGGAGGGCGGGAGGGTCAGAGGGCGGAGGGCCCGGCCCGCCGCGTCCATCAACCTCAGCAGACTATTTGCAGCAGAAGGGTCCATGGGCTTGGCCTGGCCACCACATGCCCGCGCGGTGACCTCACTAGGCAGGTGGTGCGTCTCCTTTGCTCTGGTGACGTCATCATGCTGATGCCAAGTCAGCGCCAGGTCGGGGAGAGGAGGAGGAGGCTTCCCTGAGAGTCTGGGCCCCGGGTACATTCTGCCCAGGATGTGGATTCTCGAGCCCCATGTGTGTGCCTGGGCGTGTAAGTGTGCACACGCACACGTGTGTGCGAGTGCGAGGGTGCTGTCCCCTCCTGAGATGCTCCCTCTAAATACCGGACTTGGGACGGTGGGCTGTGGGAGATGCGCTTTGCTGGGCTCCTCATTCTGCAAAGCCTGGGCTTGTCGTGGGGACCGTGGGCTCAGGCATGTGTCGGGCCGTCGATGTCTGTTGTGCCTGAGAAGGTATTTTTTGGGAAAATGTGGGTGATTCGTGGCGGGGAGGGTACAGACTGCTTCAAGTGTAAGAGTGGGAATGAGAACTATGTCATCTGACGTCGTCCCAGAAATGTCTTTAGAAGGGTTTGAGTGTCCTGATGGGGCAGGGCTCAGTCAGGCACCAGTGTCTGCAGCAGGGGACGTCCTGCGATGCCCCCGCCTCGAGCCCACCTCCGGCCTTCCTCGGCAGACCGCCCGGCAGGGGTGTGGGTGCTCAGCTGGACTCTCCCAGGCTGGACTGGGTGGGACCAACCAGCTCAGGCAGCTCAGGGCCCTGGTATCTGGCCCTGCTGGTCTGTCCTGTCCCGCTGCACCCTCCCAGCTCCAGCAGGCCCCAGGCTCTGCCTCACTGGACCCTCAGGTCTTCTCTAGTGGGCTTCCCTGCCCCTCCGTGCCTGCCCCTCCACGCCCTACTCCTCCCCCAGCTGGTCTGGAGGGCCCCCTTTGGCAGCGAGCCCCGCTGGCGAGCCTACCCTGCCTGCACCCCAAGGTTGCCACACCAACTCCCTCCCTGTCCAGCCGAAGCACGGACTGCTCATTCTCCTTAGTCCACTTGTTCCTTCTGCCTATCTCTCATTCATTCATTCACTCATTCATTCATCCAGTCCATCAATAAGCATTAACTGAGCACCACGTATGTGCCAGGCATGCAGACCACGTGCTCCCAGAGGAAGCCCAAATCAGAACCCGTGCCTCCACATGTGATGCGAGAGCCACTTTCTACTCCGAGGAGCTTAGTCTGGTGGGTGAAGCAGATAAGAAAATACCAACCACAGTCTCTGGGATAAAGTACTGTGAGGTGCAGAGGCAGCTGCCATGGGAGGGGAGGGCACCTGACTCTGCCTGAGGTGGCTGGGAGGCCGGCCTCCAGGAGGAGGTGGCATCCAAGTGCGTCCGCGGCATGAGTAGGAGCCACCCAGATGGAGGGAGGAGGCCCAGTGCCAACCAGGTGCTGGACGACGGCAGGGCCCCTGGGGGCTGCTGCAAACACTTCCAGGCAGGCCCCTGCACCCCGGGGGGCCTCTGCGTCTCGCATGTCCATCCCATGGCTCCAAGTCTGTTGTTCCCCACACTCTGCCATCTGTGAGCTCCCCAGGCCACGCCTCCATGTCCATCCCACGGCTCCAAGTCTGTTCCCCCCACTCTGCCATCTGTGAGCTCCCCAGGCCACGCCTCCCTCTTATGTCGGTCACCCTAGAAACCCAGGCGTCATCTTGAGGTCTCATCTCTCTTTCTGATCAGTCACCAGGTCCTGCCGAGTTTCCCCCAGGACCTGTCCCTTTCCACCCAGCAGCAGCAGGTCCTAGTGTTCGGGGACACAGCACCCCTGGCCTCACACATCAGGGACTCCCACGACCAAGTCTGAATCTTTTTGCCTGGTGAGGAAGGTCCTGGCTGATTGGTTCCGCCCGGTTCTGCCCTCCCCTCTGCTTCCTGACCCCACCGCCTCGGGGCGTGCTCACCTGGTCCCTCGCCCGGGATGCCTTTTGGGTGTCTCTGCCTCCTGATCCCACCCGACTCATGCCTGAGCCCCCTCTCACAGCTGGCCTGCAGCACAGCACTGAACTCTAAGTCAGAAATGATCACACACGTGTCCATTTCTATCTCCACACGAACTGATCTCACATTTCATCCGGGCAGGAAATGGAGCCGCCTTTGCGAATGAGGCTGAGTGCTTCACGCTGTTCCTTGTCAACACGCAGAAGACTCGCCCTGCATCGCTGGTCGCTCTGGTCTTCCGACTCTTGTTCACACTCACCGCTCTGACCCTGTCACTCTGTGTCTGCCTGGACCTCGTCTTTCTGGGCCTTTGACCTGCGGCCTTTCTGACTTGCACGCTTCTGCCTTTGAGCCTCGGTTCATGCCGTTCCTCCCACACAGGACGCCTTCCTCTCTCTGGGAATCCAGGTCTCTCATCTTCAAGCCATGAGAAGAATGCTCCGAAGGGCCTCCTGGGAGGGCCCCTTCCCGTGCCTGGCTCCTGGCCACTGTCCTGAAAGCGTTCACTTTCCCCCTTTAGTAGAACAAGTTTGCCCACGGCCTTCCCTGGTTGCTATGCGTGCGCCTCCACCTTGCAATCGCCCAGGATGCAGTCCTGGGCTAGGAGAGGGCGTGACTGCGCCACACCTCGTGGGCCCGGCCTGGGCAAGTCACTTCCTCCCTGGGTCTCAGTTTCTCATCTGGTAAATGGATGATGACACCTACCTCTTGGGCAAGTCCTGCGGATGTAATGAGGTCATGGACCGAAGGTCCTTTGCAAGCATAAATGCTGCAGGAGTCCCCACTGCCTTTGCTGTCATGATCACAGTGTGGGTGTCCCCGGCTCTGGCCACACCCCTAACCCTGGCTGCCTCTGTCTGCTGCTGCAGGCCGGTGCCGGGCTGGCAAGCTGGAGACCTTGGACCTGGTGACGGTGGTGCTGGGCCAGGATGCAAAGCTGCCCTGCTTCTACCGAGGGGGCCCTGATGAGCAGGTGGAGCAGGTGTCCTGGGCCCGGGTGGACGCCGGCGAGGGTGCCCGGGAGCTGGCGCTGCTGAACTCCAAGTACGGGCTGCACGTGGGCACGACCTACGAGGGCCGGGTGGAGCGGCCGCCTCCTCCGCGGAGCCCCCTGGACGGCGCGGTGCTGCTGCGGCACGCGGTGCAGGCGGACGAGGGCGAGTACGAGTGCCGCGTCAGCACCTTCCCCGCCGGCAGCTTCCAGGCCCGGCTGCGGCTCCGTGTGCTGGGTAAGCAGGGGCCCCGGGCGGGGTGGGGGGACAGGCGCGGGTGGCCCTCGCACAGGGGAGGTCCGCACGCAGCCCGCGCGGCCCTGCAGTCCGGGAGCGCTCTCCCCGCCTCGGCCGCGCCTGCGTGTTGGGAGCTGCTCCCTTTCGTTCACCGACGTCTCCTTCTCGGTTTCTCTTGCCCTTCGGGGCCACGCGGCCCCGGCTTATTCTCTCTGTCCTGCCCTCTCCCCTCTGCTCCCAGAAACAGCCAGCACCCCTCCCCCAGCCGTGCCCACCTTGGTCCCTCACCTGGCGTGCCTTTCCAGGTCTCCCTGCACCCCCATTCCTGCCCAGCTCACGCACAAGGCCTCGCACATGACCCAGGCCCATGGTGACTGTCCTGTAGCTGCGTTTCGAATTAGAGGCCCTTTCTCACGGCCCACTCAGCTCTCCTCTCCTCCGAGCTAGACTTGCTGGTTTTTACAACAGTCCTACCAAAGACACTCGTTCAAGCCCACCCTGGACACCTCGGCCCCGTGGGGCTAACATCTTTCTTGATCTGGACCCTCAGTGAATGTGGGTGGAGACCACAATTGCCCTTTAAACCCCCATGTTGTACTGTGGGCATTTGTGGTCCCCAGATGCCCTACACTTATGCTCAAGGTCACTCTTTTCCATTCTCTTTGCTTGGGCTGTTAACGTCATGAAGATCAAAATAAATCATAATTTCTCTTTATCCACGTGGGAGTCTGTAACAACAGCCTCGCAGTGGAACCCCGACCTCAGCACCCGGTGATCTGGGACGAGTCACTTAATGTCCCTGGGCATCCGTTTCCTCGTCTATGACTCAAGGACAGTGGTTTCTATCTATCTTGATGTTTTGCTGACAGGGTTCAATGAGATGTTTGTAAAGTGTTTAGCGTAGCACTTGGCACGTAGGAAGTGCTTAATAAATGGTGCTATTATTATTGTATATGTTACCTGGTTAGTTTTTTAATTGCATTGTTGTTTTCATTCAAAAATGACCCATGCTCATTGTAAAAGATACAAACATTGGACAAGGGCACAAAGATGAAATCCTAGCGCTCGTCTGCTCTGTCTCTGTGGAAGCAGAGGACACTCTCCACATGGGCGGGGTGGCGGGCGGGCCGGGGCCTCCTGACGGGGCTGTGACGGTGGTGCTCCCGCAGTGCCTCCGCTGCCTTCGCTGAACCCCGGGCCAGCGCTGGAAGAGGGCCAGGGCCTGACACTGGCCGCCTCCTGCACTGCAGAGGGCAGCCCGGCCCCCAACGTCACCTGGGACACCGAGGTCAAGGGCCTGGCATCCAGCCACTCCTTCAAGCACCCCCGCTCAGCCGCTGTCACGTCCGAGTTCCATTTGGTGCCCAGCCGCAGCATGAACGGGCAGCCACTCACCTGCGTGGTGTCCCACCCCGGCCTGCTGCAGAGCCGCAGGATCACCTACACCCTCCGAGTGGCCTGTGAGTGCTTGGGTCTTGGGACGGCGAGGCGAGGCGCCAGGCAGCCCCAGTCCTGTGGCCACGCTGTGCCCAGGGCAGAGAGCAGGGAGCCCAGCCCAGACTTGCCGCCTTCGGTACCCTCCTTTACAAAGGGGGTCGCCCTGCTTCCCGGGCTCTTGGGAGTATCACATGCACACGCGGAGTCAAGTGCTTCTGTGGAATGCACAGCTTAGGGTGTAGGGCCAACTCGGGACAAGCCTGGGTCTCACTTTGTCAGCAGAGTGAGCCCACTTTGCAGAGCTCTCGGGGGTACAGGGTTGGGGGGGCCAGGTCGTCTCGGCGTGTCCCGCTGGGCGCTCCGGCCGCCAGGCAGACGGGCAGATGGGGTGGTTTTCTGCTCACACTACCCCAGCCCGGGCAGCGGAGGCAGAAATGAGGGAGTGGGCAGGGCCGTTGGGCCTGGAAGAGCCAGGCCACATTCCCTGAGCGCCTGCCATGTGACTGGCGCTTCGTGGGCATCGCAGGGGACTCAGAAGTGACCTGTCACTTGCTGAGGCACTTAGAGGCTCCTTACACTGGCCACCCAGGGCAGACCCCCTGATTAGGGAAGGAGGAGGCGTGCAGTGAGCAGCCAGCCTGTCCGGGCTGCTTGGCAGCCGATGAGCAGGAGGGGGAAGGGCAGAGGCGGCTCTCTGGGGCGGGGTGGGGCCTGGGGCGGGGGCCCTTCGAGGAACAGGGGGTGGGAGGCCTCACTCCCACTTCTCCTCATCCTCCCTTCTGCTCCAGTCCTTGCCGAGGCCTCTGTGAGGGGCCTTGAAGACAGGAAGCTGTGGCAGGTTGGCCGAGAAGGGGCCACGCTCAGGTGCCTGAGCGAAGGGCAGCCCCCTCCCTCTTACAACTGGACACGGTGAGCGTCGCTTGGGACAAGGGTCTTTCCCGCTAAGGCCAGCGTATACTCAGTATGGGCTGGGACAATATATGCTGAACCCCAAATAAATTGGGGCACGAGTTCAGACCGATACACCAAACATGACTGGCCTGCATTGGGAGTCCAGGGCACATGGTCATTGGTGGGGAACCAGCTAATAAGGCCTTGGCTTTATTTCGTAGCTTTTAAATGATGAAGTATAATGCTGTATTTACATATTGATACTGCACAATTTGTGCAAAGTCCTACGGTGGGTAAGACACGCAGTAGGCTGACTCGATGGCTGTGACACCGACTGACCCCACAGCAGTGCCAGTGCCACCTCCCCCAGTTCCCTCGACGACACTCAGCTCTTCCAGGGTCTGGGAGAGCCAGGGAGGGGTCCAGGGCTCCTGTGCATGAGCCCGAGGAAGGCACGTGGCCTCGTGCCCAGAGCTTTGTCCCTGGGCTCTGCACGCAGCTAGCTCCAAGGCTGGGGTGTGCGGTCACCTTTGCCACGCACATCCAGCCCAGGCCGCAGTGAAGTGTCCTGTCGTGTGGACTATCGTGTGTACTTGGCGTCCACTGCTGGGTCATGTGATGCCCGTGGGAGCCTGCGGGGTGGCACGCGTGTGTTGGGGGTGCCCGGGTCAGGCTGGGCGGCAGGGAGAAGGGGCCTCTGCCTAGACCTGCTGGGGGCAGGGAGGGGCGCCGTGGGAACAGCCCGCGGCTCTCGGTGACGTCATGGGGAAGGGGGATGGGGAGCAGCCTGGGCATGTTGGGTGGTGGCAGCCGAGCCCGCCCAGCTGGCACCCGTCAGCTTCCCTGTCCTCCAGGCTGGACGGGCCTCTGCCGAGTGGGGTGCGCGTGGACGGGGACACTCTGGGCTTCCCTCCGCTGACCGTGGAGCACAGTGGCACCTATGTGTGCCACGTCAGCAATGAGCTGTCGTCGAGGGACTCTCAGGTCACCGTGGAGGTTCTTGGTAAGCACCAGGCAGACAGGTCCTGGGCCGAGACGGGGAACTGGGCGAGGAGCTGGGCCGAGGGGCTGGGCGGGGCGGAGAGCTGGGCGTCCACCTCAGACAGCGGCCTGGCCCCACAGACCCCCAGGAAAGCTCCGGGAAGCAGGTGGACCTGGTGTCGGCCTCGGTGGTGGTGGTGGGCGTCATCGCAGGGCTCCTGCTCTGCCTCCTGGTGGCCGTGGTGCTGCTGATGTCCCGGTACCACCGGCGCAAGGCCCAGCAGATGACGCAGAAATAGTGAGTCCCACCCCCAGGCACATGGGAAGGGGGAGGGGACGGGGCCGTGGCCAGTGAGGGCCGCCATGCTGCCACCCGAGGGTCGGATCCATGTGCCTGGTGTCCCCAAGGACACACGCTCGCACATGGCACGCATGCTCTCAGCTGCACCCCCACCTGCAGCCCCCACCTGCACCCGCACCCTCCAGCCCCGCCCCCACAGGCCCAGCCAGGCTGGGCTTCCCCGGGGACCGCCCCCAGCTACTGACCAGGGTTCTCTCCCAGCGAAGAGGAGCTGACGCTGACCAGAGAGAACTCCATCCGGAGGCTGCACTCCCACCACGCGGACCCCAGGAACCAGGTGTGTGCTGTGCCCAGGTGCGCTCCGCAGCTGCGGGGCCCTCTGCTGCCACCCGCTCTGGCCACTGGCCCAGAGCTGCCCAGGGTCTGCCGGGCTCCTGCACAGGGTCCCTTCATCACTGGCCTGGTCTCTCCGGGGAGCTGCCCCAGTACTGGTCCAGGGCAGGGCTGCAGTGGCCGGGCTGGGTGGGGGACAGGTGCTAGGGAGCAGGGTGGGGCAGACAGCTAGGAGCAGACAGCCGGGAGGCTGAGCCCCCTTCTGATCGCTCTCCCGTGTCTGGGCCCCGCAGCCGGAGGAGAGTGTGGGGCTGAGGGCCGAGGGCCACTCTGAAAGTCTCAAGGACAACAGCAGCTGCTCCGTGATGGTGAGGCCCCTGGCCCCACGCGCATCCCTCACCAGGCCCCTGCCTCAGCCCTGGCTCGGGCCGCCCATGCACCCCCCATGCCCTGGGTCTCCATGTCCCAGCCCCAAGCCCAATCCTGCCGCCCACCCCCAGGCCGCACACCCCTGAGACAGCCGCGACTGTGCTGGTACCTGACCTCCGCCCCCCGAGCCCACGGCCCTCAGGTCCAGCCGCCCCCGCCTGGTACCCAACGTGACCCCCCCTGCGCCACCCCACGCTTGGTCCCCAGAGTGAAGAGCCAGAGGGCCGCAGTTACTCCACGCTGACCACCGTGCGGGAGACGGAGACGCAGACAGAGCTGCTGACCCCGGGCTCCGGCCGTGCCGAGGACGAGGACGGCCGGGATGAAGGCATCAAGCTGGCCATGACCCACTTTGTGCAGGAGAATGGGACGCTGCGGGCCAAGCCCAGTGGCAATGGCATCTACATCAACGGCCGGGGGCACCTGGTCTGACCCAGGCCCCCCCACGCCCGGCCCCTCCTGCTCAGTGGCCTGAACACCCCATTCCTTAGGGGGGTATGCCCCCCCATGGACTGCTCGACCTTTCGACCTTTTCCTCCAACCTTTCTGTCCTCCACGGAGGGCCCGCTGGTCGAGCCCCCCTCCTGTGTGTGCAGGTCACTGCCCGTGCGCTTGTGCTGGTGTGAGCGTCGGCTGACTGTGCACGGAGGTGCGACTGTGCCTGGGCGTCACCATGCTGCCGCGTCCGAGTCCAGGTGACCGGTGCCGCGTGTGCCGCAGGACGCGGCGGCTGCCTGGGCCGGCCGACTGGCCGCTGGTGTGTGTGGCTATGTGGCCTCTGCCTGCCGTGGCAGGCACTTTCCTCAGACCCAGAGCAGTATTACTCACGCGGAGGCTGGAGGCCGGCCTCCTGAGGGACCGCGGCCTGGGGGTGCCCGCGGCTCACTGGTGGGGAAGAAGCCAGCTGCCCTCTGGTGGCCCGGGGATGCCCATGTACAGACTGTGTAAATAAGCCTGCCAAGGGCTCTTTTCAGGACAAGGCTCTGAGGCCTCTAATCAGAGAAAAGCCTCGATTTCTATCAGTGCTTGTGATTGCTGGGACTGCTGGAGGCGGGGCTGGCTTAGGCGGGAATTCAGTAGAGCCAGACTTCGCTCAGACCGCCCGGGGGTCACTTCCTGTGGCTCTGAGGTGTAGTCTTCCTAAGGCATCTTTACCTGGGCGGCCTCTGTGCCGTCTGAGTTCGGGGTGTGAGCCTGTGGCCCTGGGCGGGGAGGCAGGGCCCTCGGCCCTTGGCCCTCGGGTCTGAGTCTCCTCGGCCCCTCTCTACCTTCTCTCTTTTCTTAGTTGTGTCCACAGTTGTTTGTGATCTGTGGAGAGCGTTGGGACTTGGTGACAAGGACTCCTGGTTCAGTTGTGGCATCGAGGAGAGAGGGCAGTGACCACAGCTGAGGAGGGCGGGCGTCCCGGTGAAGGGCGAGCATGTCCACTTCGCCCAGGAGTCTTGGGGCCGCTGCCTTGGGCTTTTCTGCTAGTTTCTCTGGACGGAGCCTGGGTTAGACAAGGTCTGTTTCTGCTGGAATCCCTGAGTTCGTGCCCGAACCCTGCTAGACCTGAGAGCTGCTGGTTTCTGGACCAAAGGACAGACTCCCATCCCCAGCCAGCCAGGCCCAGCACCCTCGCGTGTGCATCCTGTGTAAATATGTGCATATCTGTACATAAGATGATGTTCTGTGTTTAAATAAACAGATCAGACCTGTCCTGGCTGTCTCCTGTCTTGCCCCTTGAGCTGTGTCAGCCCCAAACTCTGTACTGTCTGTCTCAGCCCCGTCCTCCTTGTGGTCCCATGGGGGGAGGCGCTGGGTGCCTGTGGCTGGGAGGGCAGGGAAAGGAACAACCCCCACAAGACTAGCAGCCACTCCGAGAGTCCCCAGGAGGGACGGTGGAGCCCAGGGCCCCTTTGGGACAGGCAGCACCTTGGTTTGCGGTGCCGAGAAGCCCGTGTGACAATGGCCTCTCAGCACCACCAGCCTGGAGGTAGGTGGCAGTGTGCACGTGTTACGGATGGAGGGACCACCTTGACTGAGCCCCACAGTGTGAGAGTCGGAAGGGTCTGAAGATTGTCTAGTCCACGGGTCCCCCCACCCCTGCCACAGACCGGTGCCGGTCCGTGGCCTGTTAGGGACAGGGCCGCACAGCAGGTGAGCGGCAGATGAGCGAGCGAAGCTTCATCCGTATCCGCAGCCGCTCCCCAGCGCCAGCATCACCGCCTCAGCTCCGCCTCAGATCCTTAGGAACTAGATTCTCATGGGAGCCCCGGTCCCTGGTGCCACAAAGGTTGGGAACTGCTGCTCTCGTCCATTCCCCTGACTTTCGTACGTGTGGAAACTGAGACTCTATAAAGTCCGGTGACTCAGCTGGGGCGTCGAGCCAGTCAGAGGCAGAACCCGGGCGCTCTCTCTCCTGTGAGCGCTGCCTCGCTCCCGGGGCAGGCTTCGGTCTCCACCCTGGACCCCAGAGTTCTGGTCTTCAGGGGTGTGAGGCAGCTCACGCCCCAGACCAGCAGGCACCCCAGGGCCCTGACATCACCTCCGCTTGGCCAATGAGCTAAGTCGCAGCAAGGGGTGAGGATGTGTCGGCTACCTCCCCCACCCCAGCCCCTGTGGTTGCAAAGATGCTCTAACAGGAAGCGGGTTTGAGGAGCTGCACAGCTTCCTGCCCCCCCCAGGGCTGAGTGGGGCGAGCAGGGCGAGTGCCAGTTCGGGCCACGAGACGCAGCTTCTTGCCAGGGTCCTGGCAGCTTCCTCTTCCACGGCCGCTTCCGTGTGGCCAGGGCTCCAGAGGCAGGAGCTGCTGTCTGCTTCTAGGCCCCCCTCTACCCCAGTTCGGAGCCCTGCCCCCTGGGGCCGGGCCGGGGGGGCCCGGAGGCCGGCTTAGGATCCCATGGGGGACCGGTAGGGCGAAGGCCTCAGGGTCGGAGGCTGGGCCAGAGCCCCGCAGCCCCAGCCATGAAGTCTCGGCAGAAAGGAAAGAAGAAGGGCAGCGCGAAGGAGCGGGTGTTCGGGTGCGACCTGCAGGAGCACCTGCTGCACTCGGGCCAGGAGGGTAAGGGCCAGCCCCGGCCAAGCTGCGGCAGAAGCACCTCGGGGTGGTCGTGGTGGGGTCGGCAGCTGGACCAGGCGAGGCAGGAGCCATGCTGGGGAGCGAGGGCAGGGCCATTCCTGAGCGACTGCCTGGGAACGGGGAGGCTGACGGGGACAGGGCCGGGAGGTGGCCGGCAGAAGGGGCGATGGAAGTTCCTGAGTCTGAACGGAAGGGGACAGGAGCAGGGCCCCAGAGGGTCTGAGGGAGGCGGAAGGGCCGACGGGGTCTCCTGCCTGGAGGAGAGTGCCTGGGGCCGGGTGGCAGGCTCTGGCTCCTCTGCAGAAGCCACAAGCGAGGATGTGGGGTGAGGACAGCCCTCCCCACTGCCCGTGACCCTACTCTTCCCGCTCAGAGGAGAGGCAGGTTCGAAGTGGATGAAGGGCCAGGGAAGAAGCTGCAGAAACGGGCAGGCCCGGGAGTAAGAGGCGGCTTGAGGTCTGGTGTGAAGATGGCGTGGACGGGGCAGAGAAGGTGGTGTGGGGACTGCGGAGCTGGCCCAGCGTCCACCCCGGGCTTGGAGATCAGGGACGGTGTTGGCCATCTGAGCTTGGCGTGGAGTAGCCACTCGTAACATGTCTCGCTGTGATTTGAAATTGAACACAGGTGTCCTGGGCGCCCGCCGGCTTGTTTTTGGCTCACCGGGCCCCTCCCAGGGAAGGGCAGGTCCCCCCTCCCCCACCCGCCCCGCCCCGCCTGCCGTTTCCTCTTTGTCCCCTGTGCTCTGGGTTGCACAGCGCAGTAGCAGGAGGGTGATGGCGGCTCCCGGCTCATTTCCTGCTCACAGCTGGCCCTGCATCCCCAGACACCTTCTTCCCCTTTTCTCCTCCCCCAGAGGCCCCCATCCCTCCCGGCCTCCCTTAGGGAAAGCCCGGGGCCCAGGGAGGCACCCTGAGTAGCTGAAGTGACTTCTCGGGGCCTTTCTCTTCTCCACGGGCGGAGCCCCGCTCTCCGCACAGGGCGGCCCCTCTCGAGAATGGAGACTCTCGGCCACACGCGTGCGCTTTAGCTGGGACCGATGCTCTTCTCCCAGGTCTCTGCGAGCCCAGCGCGGCCTCTTCGTCCTGGCCGTGCCCTTCCCTGTCACCCTTCCTGGCCTCCGCCTGCATCCCCTTTCTCTGGAAAGGGTGGACACCTGGCTGCTGGGCCCTGGCCCAAGTGCACCGCAGAGGGGACGGAGGCACCCGCCGGCCCTCGCCAGAGCCTTGCGGGCAACGGCGGCCCCCTCTCCCTCCCCGGCTCCTCCCGGCATAGACGGGTGGAGAGCGGAAGGGTAGGCAGGCTGCTGATGCTTCCGTCTAACTCAAGGCCCAGCGGGAATGAGCGTCCTTGCCAGTGCAGGCCGGCTCCGGGCCCCCTCCATCTCCGGTGCGCTGTCTCCCCACGCTCACACCCCTGGTCCTTCCAGCGCCTTCCCCCAGCTCTCTGCCCCGGCGACTCGCTTCCGTCTGCGAGCCCCACACGCGTGCCCTCCCTGTTCCTGACCTTTGTCTCTTCCGTGGTGTTCAGATTTCTGACTCTCCAGGTCTCCAGGCACCAGGCCCCCGCCCTGATCTGCCCCCTCCCTTGGCGTCTCTGTGCCTTCGACTTAGCCACCCCAACCCTGCCTCGCACCTGTGCTTCTGACCCCATCTCTGACCCCTAGCTCCTTGCCTGCCCCCTCTTTCTGACCCTGTCGTCTTCCCCCCATCTCCTTGACCCATTTCCTCAGTGGCTCTGACTCCCCAGGCTCTTGAATGCCTTCGTTAAAGGCCTCTGGAGGTTCAGAATCCACAGAGAACAGGAGGAGGGAGACCTGCCCTGCCTGGTTGCAATTCATGTGAAAAGGACCCGGGGTTCAGGTAACAGCAGCCCATTTCGAGTCAGGTGTTTGCTGCAGCATTAGGCACCGTGAGTGAGGCAGCAGCCCCGACAAGGAGGGCCACCCCCTCTCTGCATCTGTGCCGGGGCCTGAGGTCAGGGGACCCCTGCCAATGGGCCCAGGGCCTGAAGGGACGGATGGTGAACTTCGGGCGAGGACTAAGGTGCGGTGAGAGGTGACCGGGGAGCCCTCGCCTCGGGCGCTCGCACGGCCCTGGGAGGGGGTGATCCTCTGCCTCTCTTGCCCTGGACACCTTTCTCGTCTCACCCAAGTCCTGGCGCTGGGGTCCGGGAGGGCAAGGGCGTGGACGCCAGGTCGCAAGAGGCTTTAAAGTAGTGGCTGAGGAATTTATTCCCTTCTTTGTGTATTTCTATCTTACTTAATGCCACAAAGAACTTGGGATGGATGACTTTCAAAACCCAAAGCTTTACAAAAAGAGAGAGACGATGACCAAAGGACTCGAGTTGACGGGAAAACGAGAGGGAGGGTAAGATCAGGGCCCAGAACTGCGTATTGCCTGGTTCTCTGTGGGTCCTGGGCGTGGGCCCTGAGCACCCGGCGATCGAAGCGGGGCTAAGCACAGTTAGGAACGAGACTCATGAAGCCCATGAGAAAGGAAAAACAGGTGGCTTAGAAAAAGCACAGCTTTTTTCTGACACTGACACGTGAAAGGGACGGCCTTGGGGAGTCACAGTCTGTCGGACTCAATAGTTCATCCTGGGCAACATTCCGTGTCGAGTCTCCGAGAGGCGTCACCAATGCTCACAGCTGATTGCTTAATTCGTTGAGTCCTGTGATAACCCTTTATTGAGCACATGCTCTGTGTCTGCACTGTGCTGTATGCTGGGGAGGATGTTACTGCTTGTCCAAAGGCATAGGTACAAAAGAAACTAATCAATCTAAGGCCATGCCACCCTGCACGTGCCTGATCCCGTCTGATCTCCGAAGTCTGGTTAGTACTTGGATGGGAGACCACCTAGGAAGACCAGGCGCTATAGGTGTAAAAATAAAAGAAACTAATCAGAACGAAGTGCAGTAAGTGCTATAATCTAGATGCGAAGGACTGTGGGAGCTCTAATACAGATGAAAGCAAATGGTTCAGAATTGGAGGTGCTGGCCAAGGAATGTTTTGAAGAATGCATAGGAGTTCACTGGGCAGTCAAGGCGGCACGTGTCCAGGCAAGAAAGTCGCGTAAGTGAGGGCACAAGGCTCGCTCGTTGAGCAGCAAAGGGCTGGACTGCAGGGTTTGTTGGGGGACTGGCCGGAGCTGAGGCTGGAATGGTGGCTTGGAACTGGCTTCTGAGGGGTCTTCTGTACCATGCTGAAGAGTTTATATTTTATTCTGTATCCGTACGGTGAGCAGTAAAGACTGGAGTGGAGCAGGTTGTACAGACAGCAAAGATTTAAGGCAGGCAAGTGCTTTCGAAATCGCTGTGTGGCCTGTGGAGAGGGGCTGCAGCCTGTGGCTTCTGAGGGTTTCCCACGTGTGAGACGCTGTCAGACGATGATGAGGAGGGATGTCGGGAGGGTTGTGCTCTGATCTCGTCCTTACGGAGCTGACAGCGCAGTAGCAGAGGAGGGCCCGGGGCAGGGGGACAGAAGCAGCTCTTCGAGCTCTCGGAAGTGAATCCTGGCTCTGCTGGTCGGTACTGGTCACTTGTTACTCTTTTGACCTTGTCTTCCTGTCTGCAGAGTGGGGACTAGAGCATGTAATGACAGTGCCTGGCACATAGGACCTTCTCTCCCGACTTGACCTGTCTGGAGGTCTGGTGCTGTTTTGTGCACCTTCCCATGACGAAACTAATGTCCACGCACTTGCTTACCAGAGCGGGTGCTTCGCAGGTATCCCCATCAGCCGCGTTCCATTTTGAGTGGGACAACTAACGTTCCTCTATTTTGTGTAGAGTGTCATGTAAATGCACTTTCGAGACCAGTTTGTACCCCGAGTCCCCTTTCACACAGATGGCTGCTGCCCCTTTAAAAATTCCAGAGTAGCAACAAGTAATTATAGAGAAAGAAATTTCAGTTCCAAAAGGCAGAATTTTCTAAGGGGAACAGGCAGCCTAGAGAGGCAGCGAGCCCCCTCGCTGGGGTGAGGGGCGTTTGCGCTGATGCTCAGGACCCAGTGGGCAGAGAGGCGGCAGAGGGCTTGGCAAGTGGGAGCTGATGGCCTGTGCGAATCTTTCTGACGAGTTTTTATTCTGCGGGCTTTGCCCCCAATCTCCCCAAACTCCCTTCCCTGATGCGTCCATTTCTCGGACGCCCAGACCTTCTGACGTCTCCCTCTGCCCTGCGTGTGTCCCCAGTGCCGCAGGTGCTGAAGGCCTGCGCGGAGTTCGTGGAGGAGCATGGGGTGGTGGACGGCATCTATCGCCTCTCAGGAGTCTCCTCCAACATCCAGAAGCTCCGGTGAGTCGGGCAGTGCGGCGAGGGCTCTGGGGGAGCCAGAGGGTGAGGGGAAGTGGGGAGCAGGGGTCCTAGATGCTAGGTGCTGTCACGGAGGGGTTCCAGAGTCTTCTCGGGAAAGGTCGAGACCGTGCCCCCACGCCCCCAGGCTGGCACGCGTGTACGTGCGCGCACACACGCAAACTGACACACCTGCACCCCCCCCACACCCATCCAGCTTTTAAAAATTTAGATATGATTCTCACACCATAAAACTCACCACGTAAAAATGGACGGTTCGGTAGTACACTCACAGGGTGTGCGACCTGCACCAGTGTCCAACTCCAGGACATCTCATCGCCCCTAAAAAGGACCCCCTTCCCCAGGAGCAGCCCCTGCACACATTTCGCCTGCCCAGGCCTGGCAGCCGCCGGCCTGCGTTCTGTCTCTGTGCTGTTCTTACTCTGGACGCGTCGTGTCGGCGGGTCCCGGGGTTGGGCCTCGTGCGCTGGCCTTCCTCACACGGCGTTTTCCAGCTTCCTGCCTGTGTCTCAGACGGCGGAGCTTCGTTTCTTTCCATGGCTGAACGATGCCCCATCGCAAGGCTTTTCCACGTTTAGTTTCCACTCACCTTTCACGGCCGCGTTGCTTTTGGCTCCTATGAATAATGGTGCTACACACATTCACGTCTGAGCCCTTGTGGGGACACGTGCTTCTGATTTACAAGAGAGTGTGCGTAGGAGCGGAGGTGCCGGATCGCACACGCGTAACTGTGTGTTGAACGTTTAAAGGAACTGCTGGACCGTTTTCCACAGCCGTTTCCTCATTTTACATCCCCACCAGTGTGTGAGGGTCCCCCACATCCTGCCAGCACTCGTCACTGGGCGTCTGTTTTATTATAGCCACCCGAGTGGGTATGAAGTGACATATTTCATCTATATTGTCATTTCCCTAGTAAGTAACAGCGTCGAGCACCCTCTCATGTGCTTATTGGCCATTTGTATGTCTTTGGAAAAATGTCTCAAACCCTTTGTCCATTTTTTAATTGAGTTATTTGTCTCTCTTGAGTTGTAATCATTCTTCATATTCCAGACATTAAACGCTTACCAAATCTATAATTCTCAAATGCTTTCTCCCATTCTGTGGGTTGTCTTCACTTTCTTCATAGTGCCCCTTGACACACAAAAGTTTGCAGTTTTGTTGTTCAGTGTATTTTTTCTTTGGTTGCCTGCACTTTTGGTGTCATAGCTAAGAAACCGTCGCCTAACCCAAGGTCGTGAAGATTTACACTTACGTTTCCGCCTAGGGGTTACACGTGCCCATCTTGCAGACACCGGAAACACGCCCGGGCTCATCCCCCGCTCGCACTGGCCCCTGCAGGCCCCTGCATCGCTGCGCACGCCCACAGCTGCTTCCTGGCCTAGGGCCCTGTCAAGCTACATATCCGCTTGCCCCCTGCACAGCCACTTACACGACTGAGACTCGCGTCCCCATGGAGACACGCCCCCAGCTCTCCCCAGGCACCCCCCACCCCCGAGCCCCTACCCTGACCACTCTGCCCCCCACACCCTCCAGGCAGGAGTTCGAGGCAGAGCGGAAGCCGGACCTACGGCGGGACGTCTACCTGCAGGACATTCACTGCGTGTCCTCCCTGTGCAAGGCCTACTTCAGGGAGCTGCCGGACCCCTTGCTCACCTACCGGCTCTACGACAAGTTCGCTGTGAGTTGGGGGCTGGGGCAGAGGACGGGGGCGGGGGCAGCTGTTCCGATGTTGGCAGCCCAGGTGCGTCCAGTGGCCGGCAGAGGCTTAGCGATCCTGAATGGTGGAGACCACGTTCCAGGAGCTCGAGCCCTCCCCAGTCTCCTTGCACCCCCAGTGCCCTCCCCGTCCCCCGCTCTCTCCGTTCCCTCCTTTCCCTAGGGCTGCAGACCACACACGGCGGGCGGGAGCTGGGGGAGAGTAGGCACCGGTGGTCAGAGCGGGAAGGCCTTGGAACTCGTCTAGACGAGAGCCTCCCGACACGTAAGAGAGCGAGAACGCTCTCAGAGGCCCGAACTTCTCGAGCGTGCCCCCACGATTGCGATCACGTGCCCGCGCCCTCCGAGTGAGAACATGGCAGAAATGCCGCCCGAATCCACGCTCGTAGGACGAGCCGCGCTCCGAAGAGCGTGCCCGTGTTTGAAGACCCCGAACAGCGGAGGCGCCGCCCCGCCCACACCCACTAACCCGGCGGGCGTGGGCCTTCCTGGACACCCTGGAATAACTCCACGGCCCCTGAGCACTCGCGAGGTCAGGGGCACTGATGTGTCCCAGGACCAGAGTGCCACCGACAGAGGACTCCAAGGCAGAGAGGGGCAGTGAGCTGCTCAGGGTCACAGAGGTATTAAGTGGCATGACCAGGATTCAGCTGCAGGTCTTGTGGGCCCCACGTTTTCTGCTGGTGGTTTCTAGACTCAGGGACGGGGCCTCTGAGTCTAACTCGAGCTCTGGGGTGTGAGCAAGGGTGGTGCGGGGCGCTGAGTGCTGCCCCTTGGGCCCCCACCAGGAGGCCGTGGCAGTGCAGCTGGAGCCTGAGCGCTTGGTCAAGATCCTGGAGGTGCTTCGAGAACTGCCCGTCCCGAACTACAGGTGTGTGGGGCCCCTCCCCACCTCCAGCCCCGACCTCCCACAGCCCAGGCTCTCCTTCCACCAAGGGCCTTGACTGGCCCCTTCTCGTCCAGCTCCCAGGCCCCAGCCCTACTCCTGCCCCGTGTGGCCCCTGAGTGTCCTCTGCCCCGTGGCGCCTTTTCTGCAGGACCCTGGAATTCCTGATGCGTCACTTGGTGCACATGGCCTCGCACAGCGCGCAGACCAACATGCATGCCCGCAACCTGGCCATCGTCTGGGCCCCCAACCTGCTGAGGTGCGTGCGAGCAGTAGCCCCCCGAGCCTGGCCCCGAGGCTGACTCCGGGAGGGCTGTGGCTGTGCGTGTGCCTTGGGGAGGTGGGGGAGGTGAGGGGGGATCTCACGGAGCCCGGGGAGAAACAGGAGCTTCAGGGTTTACACCAAGTGTGGGATGGGCTCACCCTTTAGCCCTTTCTGGAGCTCGAGTGAAGTTCCTGAGGGCAGCGCCTCTGTGTTTCCTCACGCGTACCCACCGGGCCCCCAGCCGGAGCAGGACTGATCCCTGTCCGGTGTTTGTCGAGCACATGTCTTACGGTCTGTTGGAGAACTGGCCAGCACACAATTCCTTGTGATGCAGGCAGACTAGGAGAAATCCTTATATTCATTACAAACGAGACACCTTGGTGTGCGCAGGAAGCAGAGTTAATTCTGAGGAGGTGTCTGAGAAGGGTTCCTGGAGGAAGCGCCGGTAGAGACTTGAGTCCTGCGCACGGTTTACAGGTGGAGGCGGGCTTACCGGCACGCAGGGGAAAGGCGCAGGGGCTCTTAGGAGAATTCGGGTGAAGAAGTGTGGTGGGGCTGGGGGCGCATAAGTCCACGTCGCCACAGGTCTAAGGACATAGAGGCTTCAGGCTTCAACGGGACTGCGGCCTTCATGGAGGTGCGCGTGCAGTCCATCGTCGTAGAGTTCATCCTCACGCACGTGGACCGGCTCTTCGGGGGTGCTGCCCTCTCTGGTTAGTGCCCTCCCCACCCACCACGTCACCGCTCTCAGTCTGGGGTGTCATGTCAGAGTTACACAGGGCCTCAAAAATCATCTAGTTCACTCTCCCCGTTGTGCAGATGAGAAAACTGAGTCTCCAAGGGAGGTGTTGCTGATGGCCACATGGGGACGCGCTGGCAGTCGGGACTCGGGCGGGCCTCTTCTGCTCTCGGTCTGGGGCAGAACTTGGCCTCTTAATCGCCGTCCTGGCTCTCAAGGCTAGTGACTGCTCAGTCCCTCCCCAGCCCACCAGGCCAATGTCCTGGGATCCCCTGGCCCTCTCTGTCCCTGAGGACTCAGTCCCTCCCGAGGAGCTAGGTCAGGGGCCTCCGGGCACAGCCCTAGCCTGGCAGCTGGTGGACGGGCCGTGTGGTGAGGACCTGGGAGCCTGAGCCCTCTCTTCTCTGATGTTGGCTGATTCCCCAGCTGCTGATGGGGATGGTGGATGGCGCTCTCTTCCGGGGCCCCGGGCGTCGGGCAGCCCTGAGGACCTGATGCCCAGGTCCCTGCCCTACCACCTGCCTAGCGTCCTGCAGGCTGGAGACGGCCCCCCGCAGATGCGGCCCTACCACACCATCATCGAGATCACAGAGCACAAGTAAGGTCTTCCTCCGGGGCCCTCCTCCCCTGCACAGACCACCGGCCCCCGCCCCAGTGATTTCTCCATTCCCTGCAGGAGGAAAGGGTCTTTGAAGGTCAGGAAGTGGAGATCAATCTTCAATCTGGGTCGCTCTGGCAACGAGACCAAGCGTAAACTCCCACGGGGGCTGGAGGACAGGGGTAAGTCTGGGAGGTGTGGGGGCCTCTGCCGCAGGTGTGCCAGGCCCTGGCTCTATCATGCCCCTGTCTTGCAGAAGACAAATCTGACAAGGGGGTGCTGCGGCCAGCCAAGAGCATGGACTCACTGAGTGCTGCGGCTGGGGCCAATGACGGTGAGTGTAAGTGTGTGCTCCTGTGCGTGTGCGTGTGCGTGTGCGTACTACTAACAGCATGGGCCTGTACGCATCTGTGTGGAAGCGTGTCTGTGAGTGTACCTGTAAGTGCTTACCAGTATTAGGAATAAGACCGGTGTGTGCGTGTGTGTGTGTACATGTGGCCAAATGTATGCACTAATTTAAAACTTATGTAACGAGTGCCTGTTATATAGCAGCCATAGTGCTGGATGCTGGGTTTACAGTGGTGAGTTTATCCTCTGTCTCTGGGGTGTCATGAGTACTTGCAGGGACAGAGTGGCTGTGTGGAGGTAGGGATGGCCAGTGGCTGTATCTTCAGAGAGGGAAGGGGTTCCTAGGTGTGTGTAGGTGGGGTGACTGTTGACCTGCTGTGGAATTTGCTGTGCTGGCCCAGGGAAGCTGAGCCCAGTGCCATCCAGGATTCTAAGCCTCAAGGAAGCAGAGGGCACTCTCCGGAGCATTCCCAAGGTGTCCAGGTCAAGTCCCTTGTAGCTGAGACTATTCCCTGCCTCTCTCTCCTCCACAGAACCGGAGGGGCTGGTGGGACCTAGCAGCCCCCGGCCAAGCCTACCGCTTTCTGAGAGCTTGGAGAATGATTCTGTGGAGGCAGCAGAGGGTGAACCGCAGCCCGAGGCAGAGGCCCTGGGCAGCACGAACTCAGAGCCAGGCACGCCACGAGCTGGGCGGTCAGCTGTCCGTGCTGGGGGCAGCAGCCGTGCTGAGCGCTGTGCTGGCGTCCACATCTCAGACCCTTACAATGTCAACCTCCCCCTACACATCACCTCTATCCTCAACGTGCCCCCAAACATCATCTCTAACGTCTCCTTGGCCAGGCTCACCCGTGGCCTTGAATGTCCTGCCCTACAGCCCAGGCCGAGCCCTGCCTCTGGCCCTGGCCCCGGCCCGGGCCTTGGCCCTGGCCCCCCAGGTAAGGACCCTGGGATTTCCAAGGATGGGAGAGGGGACTACAATTCTCGACTGAAGCTCTGATGCTGGGGAGGGAGGAGTCCCTACCCCCGGGGCTTTGGGTGGTTACTTTCAGCTGCCTCCCTGGTTCAAGGTTGGGGAAATCCAGTAATGTTATCAACTCGTGTGAAATCTATGGAGAGAAGATGTCTCAGGTACCCAAGGATGGGGTCAGTGTCAGACGTATACAGCAGGGATTGCTACACACAAGGTGGGATGCGTAATAGAGAACAGTGATCATCATCATAACATTAATACTAACAGCGAAGACTTATCGAGGGTTTATTAGGCGTCATATGCTGTCTTAAGGACTTTGCTGGTGTTAGCTTATTTCGTTTTCTCATACTCTATGACACAGGTATTGTTATCCTTACGTCACAGCAGTGGCACCTGAGACTCAGGTTAAGCAATTTGTGATTTAGTTAGGAGGTGGCAGGTCTCGGATCTAATCTTTGCTCTGACTCCAGTTCTGAAAGCGTCACTGAGAGGTGCCACAGGGTAGTGGAGAAGGATGTGGGCTATGCAGTTGAGTAGATGTGGGTTCAAACTGTGTCACTTGTGTGACCTTGGACAAACTGTTTAATTTCTTGGAGTCTCAGTTTCCTCATATGTAAAATGGGGATATTACAGGGTGGTTTTGGTGGGGAAAAGTAAGATAACATGTAAAACATAGCACAGTGCTTGGCACGTGCTAGGAGCTCAAAAAAGGCAGCTCTAAGCCAATAGGTAAACTGGTCTGAGAGGGTTGGCCACATGGGGTATCTGCTGGCAGTGCTGGGCCCACACTGCAGCAATGCCAGGAAGACCCACACTGGAAAGGGTCAGGGCTGGCCTTGACCTTTGTACTCCTGGGACTCCCTCTCTTCCAACAGATGAGAAGTCGGAGGCAAGCCCAGCCCCAGGTGCCCTGGCTGACTCAGGCGCGGCAGACGTGGCCCCTGCCCTGGAGGACTGCCTGTCCCAGGAGGTGCAGGACTCCTTCTCCTTCCTAGAGGACTCAAGCGGCTCAGAGCCCGAGTGGGTGGGGGTGGAGGATGGGGAAGTGGCCAAGGCAGGAGCAGCAGGAGCAGCCTTCTCCCCTGGGGAGGATGACCCTGGGATGGGCTACCTGGAAGAGCTCCTGGGAGTTGGGCCGCAGGTAAGAAGCCGTGCTGGGTTTGGGGGTGGTGAGGAATCCAGAGGGGAGACAGGGCCACCTGGTTCTGAGCCACATGCTGTGCCCGCAGGTGGAGGAATTCTCTGTGGAGCCACCCCTGGATGACCTGTCTCTGGATGAGGCACACTTCGTCCTGGCTCCCAGCTGCTGTTCCCCGGACTCTGCTGGCCCTGGGCCAGAAGCAGAGGAGGAAAGTGGGGAGGAAGTCTTCCTGAGTGCCTACGATGACCTCAGCCCCCTCCTGGGGGCCACACCCCTGGCCTGGGAGGGTCCAGGTCTTCGGGAAGAAGAGGCAGCAGGGTGTGGCAGGCACGAGGCTCCAGGACAGGCCGAGGAAGCACCGGCATGCTGCAGACCTGGGCAGGACGAGGAGGCTGAGCCTGGCAGCAGATGGGACATCAGGGAGGAAGCTGAGGGGAGTCCAGAGTGTGAGGCGGAGGCTGGAGGGGCAGGGGAGGATGAAGAGGAGGCTGGGGGAGGCCAAGAGATGACGGTCAGTTTGAGAGAAGGAAGTGGGGAAGAGACAGAGGCCAACGGAGAAGAGGCCAAAGGTCAGCGGGAGGATGAGAGCACGAAAGCAGCTAAAGGGGTGGAGAAAATGGGAGGAGAGCAGGGTAAAGACAAGGACGAAAGAAAGACTGAGAGACAGGACGAGGCCGAGGAAGCGGGGGAAGCACAGGGAGAGGCCGGAAGGGACCCCGAGCACGAGGCCCAGGAAAGCCACGCTGTGGAGGAGAGCTGGGAAGTTGTACAGGAACGACAGGCTGAGGAAGGCAGAGGGGATGAGGATAAGGTCAAAGGACGGCAGGAGGACGGTGACCAAGAGGCCAGAGAAGACCGAGGAGACGGTGAAGACGGCAGAAGTGCAGAAGCGGCAGCTGGAGGAGGAGCAGGGGAGGTCGGCAAGGAGCGCGAGAGCGGCGATGGAGAGGCAGAGGGGGACCGGAGGGCCGGCGGGGATCATTTAGAAGAGAGCTTCCTCCTTGGAGGGTCATCTGTAGAGTCCTTGGAGGCTGACAGTGCCAAAGAGGGCAACGCCCGTCCCTCTGAGACAGAACAGGCAGCCCCACCGCCACTTCGGCCAGAGGAGATGGAGCCTGAGGGGCAGCCTAGTTCAGAGGGCTGCAGTCCCTGCCTGTGTCCCCTGGGCTTGGCCGGCGGTGTGGGCATGCGCCTGGCTTCCACCCTGGTTCAGGTCCAACAGGTCCGCTCTGTGCCAGTGGTGCCCCCTAAGCCACAGTTTGCCAAGATGCCCAGCACAATGTGTAGCAAGATCCATGTGGCACCTGCAAGTCCATGCCTGAGGCCCGGCCGGCTTGATGGGACTCCCGGGGAGAGGGCCTGGGGGCCCAGAGCCTCTCGCTCCTCTTGGAGGAATGGGGGTAGTCTTTCTTTTGATGCTGCTGTGGCTCTGGCCCGGGACCGCCAGAGAACTGAGGCCCAGGGAGTTCGGCGGACCCAGACCTGTACTGGGGGTGAGGACTACAGCCTCATCCCCAGAACCTCCCCCTGTAGCATGACCTCTGCCCATTATCCTCGGCCCCTCAGCTGCCTGGAGCTCCCTCCTGAAGGATCAGAAGGGTCTGGACCTCGGAGTCGGCTTAGTCTGCCCCCCAGAGAACCCCAGCCCCTTCACCCCCTCTTACCCCCACAGCGCAGAACGTATGCCTTTGAAACACAGGCTAATCCTGGGAAAGGTGAGGGACTGTGATTAGGACCAGAGCATTGGGCAAAGGGGACAGTAAGTTGTCTGGGATCTCTGGGGTCCCTAACTAGCTGTGTCTTCTGCAGCCCGAGGAGCTGCAGTGCCCAACTCTGTGGGCTCTGGGTCTCTAACTTCTCTGTGACTATGGGAGGAACTGCCTTGGTTGGTTCACCTGAGCTTGGCTCAGACACAAAGCACTTATCCCTTAGGAGAGTCCCAAGAAAGTCACCGAGATCCTGTTCCTAGGGAGTGTGGTCATTGGCCAAAGGGAACAGAGTAGGCAGAAAACGTAGAGGTTTCTCAAAGTGAAGAATGAAGGGGGAACTCCAGCCAAGTCCCTGCCTTCCTCTGCCGCTGTGACCTTCTCTTCATGGAAGCCCCCAGGGTGGAGGTGGGGAGGACAGGGCCGGTCAGAACTTGTCATACCCTTCTAAAGTTGCTCATCCTTGTTCTGCTCTTGGATGCCTGTATACCTCCCGACCCTCTTAGCTCCAGGTTACGCGCACGTGTCCAGGAAGCGCTGTGAAGACCTCGATGTTTGCTGGAGGGACTGGCTCCCTTCCCAGCAACTCCACCCACTGCCTCTGGTCACCTTAAGGGAGGTCTTGCTGTGGCCTCGCCTTTTGCCTTGGGAACAACTTCCTCCTATTTCAGGGAAGGGGAATGGCATCTCTGGGGCCCTGGGACTGCTTCCGCAGACAGGCTAGGGCCACTAGTCTCATTCCCCTAAGGAGTGACGTCTCGGAATAAAAGTTGTATTTTCACATGTAAATAGTGTGGAGTTTGATTATTCTTATTAGAGTCTTGGGTGACCGGTATCCTAATTTCGCGTTTGGCCAACCGTTCTCCTTTTTTTGTCGTTCGGGTGCTTTTCTTCCGTGGTTGTCATGGAGACCAGTGGCTAGAAACCAGGGCTGGGTTCGCGGCGGTCAGGAAATGGGGAAGAGAAACTGCCATTTACATGATGTTCATGTGTGTCAAGAAAGGCTAGGGATTCCCCGCGCTTGGACTCTTTGCCCTTGGTTTTATTTAGTCCACCTAACAACTCTGTCAGGTCGGCACTGGCCTCGCCATTTTAGTTGAGGAAACTGAGGCTTTTTAGGTCAAAAGGCCTGCGAAGAGACCGGAGGTGAGAAGCGGCAGCGGTCGGTCGAGCGCCGTTTGCGAGGCTGGAGTCCGACGCTCCCCGTGACACCGCGCCGCTCCGAGCCCACGCGGGGCGGGCAGTGCTGAGAGGGGCGGGGAGCAAGGGCCGTCGCGCGGCCACCGGGACGCTGCCACACCGAAAGCCCTGGGGTCTTCGCGCGAGGGACGCCGACGCAGAGCAGCACAGAGGCCCCGAGCGTGCCCAGACGCGTCCGGACCGAGCAGGAAACGCTTCCAGGAGGCCCGCGTCCAAGATGGCCTCCGTGGTAGCCCTTGTCAAAGATGGCGCCTCCGACCGAGGTGCCTCCCTTGATCTACACCGGCCCAACGCCCTTCCCGGGAACTGAATGTAAAGGCCCTGTCCGGCAGAAAGACGGTAGCACAAGTCGGCGTTCTTGCCCAGAGCGCGCGGGGCTCCAGCGTCATTCTTCCCGGGCGCTCGCCCCTTCTGGACCCCAGCCGCACCCCGCCGTCCGCACCCTTCGGCTCGCGTCAAGATGGAGCGACCGGAAGTGGGCGGCTCAGAGGCCGGGCAGGCGCGGCGGTCGAGGCGACACTTCCGCCCCTCACCTACATGGCCGCGGGATGGGAGCGCGCATGCGCAGCCGTGCATGGAGCTGCCCGAGTGCGGAGAGGGAGGCGCTGTCGGAGCGAACCGGCGGCTGAGGCGCGCTCGGCCGGTGAGTGCGAGACCGGGCGGGAGCGTGGAGACGGGGTGGGCCGGCGAGGAAGGGCAGCCTTCGTTTCGTTCCCGTTGCTCAGGTCAGGGGATTCCTGGGGGGAAGCCTTTGTTTTGCGCCGGGCTCGCTCATCTCCCCGCTTAGTGGGCCGACTGGC